AATTATGCTTCATGCATATACACAGAGTCAATGTAATTCCCATCAAAATTCCAATGACGTTCTTGACAGAAATAGAAAAAGCAGTTGTGAATTTCATTTGGAAAAATAAGAGACCCAGAACAGCCAAAGCATTCCTTAGCAAGAAAGTGAAGAAGGAGGCATCATAATACTAGTCCTCAAAGTATACTACAGGGCTATAGTAACAAAAACAGCAATGCTATTGGCACCAAGACCCCTGGAATAGAAGACATAGAGACATATAACATATAAATATGGTTATTGCATACTGGGAAAAGGTGCCAAAAACATATGTTAGAGAAAAGATAGACTTTTCAACAAATGGTGCTGGGAAAATGGAAATCCATATGCATAGAATGAAATTAACAATGATCTCTCATTCTGCACAATACTCAACTCAAAATGTATCAAAAACCTAGAAATTAMACCAGAAACCCTGCACACACTAGAAGAAACTGTAGGCCCAACACTCCAACGTATCAGCTCAGCTACTGACTTCTTGAAACAAGACTCCTTGTTAAAGCACAATAATTAAAATCAATAATCARTATATGGGATGGTATCAAACAAAAAGCTTCTTAACAACAACGAAAACAATCAAGAATGTAAAGAGAGAGCCTATGGAATGGGAGAGAATCTTTGCCACTTGCACCTCAGATAAGCTGTTAATTTCCAGGATATACAAAGAACTCAAAAAACTTAACACCAAAAACACAAAAAACCCAATCAATAAATGGGCAAAAGAACTAAATAGACACTTGTCAAAAGAACAAATATTAACAGTCAACAAATATATAAAAAATGTTCTATATCTTTAGCAATTAGAGAAATACAAATTAAAACTACACTGAGATTTCATCTCCTGTTAGAATGGCAATTTTCAAGAATACAAGGAACAATAMATGTTGGTGAGGATGTGGGGAAAAGAGTCTGCTCATACATTGTTAATGGGACTATAAATTGGTAAAACCACTCTAGAAAGCAGTATGGAGCTTCCTCAAAAAACTAGGAATGGAACCACCACTGACATGGTTATCTTACTCCTTGGTATATATCCAAAGGAATTAAAATCARTATACTACAGAGACTCAGTTTATAGCAGTACAATTCACAATAGCTAAGCCAAGGAGTCAAACTAGGTGCCTTTCAACAGATGAATGGATACACAAAATGTGGCGTATATACACAGTGGAGTATTATTCAACCATAAAGAAGAATGACTTCATGACATTTACCTGTAAACAGATGGATCCAGAGACTATCATGCTAAGTGAAATAGACCAGTTGCAAAAARAACAAATGTCAGATGTTTTATGATATGTGGAATCTAACCTACAATAAGGGGTGAGTACGGAATAGAAGTTCAGTGGATTAGGCAAAGGGTAATGAAGGAAAGGGAGGAGGTATAAGAAAAGGAAAGACAGTGGAATGAATCTGACATAACTTTCCTACGTACATATATGAATACACCACAGTGAATCTCACTATCATGTACAAGAAACTAATTTAAAAAATAATAACTACGGATAAATGGCAGAAAAATCAATAGAGGGAACAGAGCAAGGGTAGGGAAAAATAAGGGGAAGAAGAAATACTGGAGTCAGAATTAGAATAATGTATATTCCAATGCTCATATAATTATGTCAAAATGTATTCTACTGTCACATACAACTAAGGACCAATTAAAAAAAAAAAAAAAGAATAGATGGACAGTGTCTATGCCTATCCTTCTTTCCATTTCTTATGAAATGTACTAAACAAGAGCAAGGGCTGAGTGCTGTTAACCCCTTCTTCTTTCTGTGTTGTACACCAAGCTGCCAGTTGCAATGGCCTAAGGCTAAAGCCGGGCCAAATAATTCTCAACTTCTCTTCTCCCCAGTATAAAATAGGATGGGAGAGGAAGTTCTATCAGTTGAAATTTTGTCTGCACAGACCAGATAATACACTCCCAGAGTGGGGCAGCTGTAGAGTTTTATGGGTGGAATTCCAGCAAGTGGGACTTAGATCTAATCAGCCCTCAGGGTCTTTGCTGGTTTCTGCTCTGGAGAGATTAGATCAACATACTACTAGTGCCTGGAAGTTGCATATCTCTGTTGGGAGTCTGGWTCTCAGGAGCCTCCCAAGGATTCTACTTGCTTTGGTTTAGATATGRGGTGTTCCCAAAAACTCATGTGTGAAACAATGCAGGAAAGTTTAGGTGAATGATTGAGTTATAAGAACATCAACCCAATCYGTGAATTAATCCCCTCGTAGGGATTCACTGGATGGTAACTGTAGTCAGGTAGAGGTTGGCTGGAGGAGGTAGGTCATATAGGACATGCCTTTGGGATATATATTTTATATGTGGTGAGTGCAGACTCTCTCTGCTTCCTGATGTGAGGTCTTGAGCCATTTCCCTCCACCACATTCTTCTGCCATGATGATCTGCCTCACCTTGAGCTCCAAAGAATGCAGCCAGCTGTCTGTGAACTGAGACCTCTGGAAMTGTGAGCCTCTAAAACTGTTCTTTTAGTTAGGAAAAAATAAAAGCTGACTAAAACAATACTTGTGGGGGCAGAGGAGTCAATCCTTCACCCACTCTGTGGTCCATGAACATGGCCTTTCCAGGYTTCCCAGGCTTAGTCCCTGCATGTAGTCCCACCCACATGTTCAGATTCCAGACCTACTTCAGCAGATCACRTGAACCAGACTCAAAGGTGAGGTCCCATTCACTCTTCCCATTTGAATCCCCCTGGGTAAAATATTTTCTGTGCCTGCTTCACTCCCATTTTGCTAGGTACACCCCAGTCTACATGGAATGCATTTGCCAGGACAGTGTAGCCCTGTTTGCTCTGATCTTCCAGCTCCCACAGCACGTGCAATGTGTCTACCTCAAGGTGGCTCCACCTCAGCTCTCAGCAGCCAAAGTCGTGAGTGGAGAGACACTGGGCACTTTTCAAGCACCAGTGCACAGTGCAGCTTCTGGATCAGCTAAGGGAAGGTTCCTTTTCTGATCTCAAGTTTTTCTGTACTAAATCTGTCTGTTGTGTTTCTCTCTGTGTTCCTCCTTCCTCTGTGTTAAACTACCCCTACCACTGCTGACACAACCAGCTTAGCTCCAATATAGTCTTTCTTCTTTGTTTAATTTACCCCAAATTTCTGACTCTCTAAGAGATACTCTGTCCAATATAGAGTTTTAGTGAAATCCCTCTTTCACCCACCTAACAGAGAAGCAGTATTCCTGCTGCTTGAATCCCGAGCCATACAGCAACTAAGAAGGCAGGCTCCCTCTAGCCCACCATCTTGAATCCCTCAGGAATTATGGTTTCTTAAAGAATTTTTCAGACTTTTAGATATAAAAATTTATACTTTAATATCTTTTATATATTTCATAGGGATAATTTCAAACTTTAAACTTCAGCTTTATTAAAAACATGCTGTATTATTCTTCTGGTGGAAATTTCATTACAGACCAGACTCTAGTCCAAGCTCTAGCATCTGGGAACCACTGCTACAGATCAAAGGAATAAAACCTCAAGAAAAGGAAATAACCATGATTCTGGTCATTAAGGAATATAACTTTTAATAGCACAATGTAAGGAAAATGAGTTAGCATGGTAGAGAAAGCATCAATTAAGAGGCAACAGGAAGAGAGAACACAATGTTGGATCAGAGTCTAGCCAATATTACTTTTAGACAAAGTTTACTTGTTGGGGCTAGGCTTGAGATATCTATTACCTGCCTTCATGATGCCACTAGTTTAGTGACGTAATAAAATATACTAAYATCCTGTAACTAGTACTAGTCTCTGTCTTCCCTATATTTATCGTGGAGCCCAAAGGACCACAGGATAGTCAAAATGTTGAGGCAGCAGTTTTCATCCTAGAATCAGTAAAAATAAATACTAATGTTTATAGTAATGCTCTAGATCATCATTCAAGAATTAAAAAAGAACAAATTGATAAATCAACAACCTGAATGGACCTCAAAAACATTACATTAAATGAAAGAGGTCATATAAAAAAGACATATGCATGCTGTATGACTTCATTTACATGAAATTCTTAGAAAAGGCACAAGTAATCTAAAATGGCAAAAAGCACATCAGTGTTTGCCTGGGACTGGGGACAGAAGGAAGAGACTGACAACAAAAGAGCAGAAGAAGCCAGGCGCAGTGGCACACACCTGAAATCTCAGCAGTTCAGGAGGCTGAGACAGGAGGATCATGAGTTCAAAGTCAGCCTCAGCAACCATGTGGTGCTTAGCAGCTCAGTAAGACCCTGTCTCTAAATAAAATACAAAATAGGGCTGGGGATGTGTCTCAGTGGTCATGTGCCCCTGAGTTCAATACCCAGTAACAAAAAAAAAAAAAAGAGGAGCAGAAGAGAACATTTTAAATGATAGAAATGTTTCATGCATTGACTATAGTGGTGGTTAAACAGATGCATACATTTGTTAAAATTCATCAGATTATACACTTAAAATGGATAAGCTATATTCAATAAAACTGATTTTAAAATATAAGTGTACATAGATGTGTATATATRTTTTATACACACACAAACACACACATATACATACATATATACTTATACACATGATTCTTTTTAGAGTCACACCTTTGGAAATACAAAGAAAGATACAACTACTTTTCCCAGAAAAAATATGGTTGTATGCATAGTCTTCCATACAATTCAGGGGCACCAAAGATCAAAGCCCATGGATGCCAAATAAAGAATTTTAGTTTACACCTATATAAACCCAGTATTTTAGAAATCTGAGGATGTGAAGATGTGAAGATCTGAAGAAGCCTRAGTATGTGTTCGCAATCCCTATAATGATGTCAGAAGAGTAGAATCATAAAAACATAGTTTTGTAAAGAGTGCCTAGTAAGCAGGCAGTAGCAATGTGGAAGAGAATCATACTTCCTTAATATAATCACTAACATTTCTTTCAAGCAAACGTACTAAGTATGTAGGCTTTCATTACCATTGGTAACTCACCCTCAGCTTGATGGTGTAGATTATAAAACTCTCGGGCAATGATATCTGCCAGTTTCTCACACCATTTTTTTGATGGACAAAAAAGTAATACTGAATGGTTATCACGAACRGTCTCATAACACAAACTAACAACATGGTCTTCATCACCCTAAAAAAAGAAAGAGAAATAACGACCTCAGTGGTACTTTTAAAACATTTTCATACCAGGTGTGTTGGTACACACCTATAATCTCAACAACTGAGGAGGCTAAGACAGGAGGATCACAAGTTGGAAGCCAGCCTTGGCAATTTAGCAAAACCTTATCTCACAATAAAAAATCAAAAGGGGCCAAGAAAGTAGCTCAGCATTCTTGGGTCCAATCCTCAGTACCACAAAAAAATTTCCTCACACCAGTTTAAAATCATTCACTTTTCTTCACAGGAAAAATTTTATTATTCAAAGGCATAATAAAAAATCAGCTACAAAGTCCATAACAAAATAGAAAACAAGCCAGGCATGTGTAGCACATGTCCATAAATGTAGCTACTCAGGAAGCTGAGGCAAGAAAATTAAGAGTTTGAGGCCAACCTGGGCCACATATAAATGAAGATACTAGGTTCTGAGAAGTTTTGTGATTCAACTACTATCTCAACCTTATCAAGTATCACAATTAAATGTCAGAGGTAGGTCTAACTCCCAAATGATGTGCTTTTCATTCTATATACACTATAATTATACCTACCATTTAATATAAGGTTAATTTTCCAAATTAGTGTTTAGTTTAAACTAAATCATAAGAAAATCTTTTCCTAGTTAAACAGAAAAATCCACAAAACTAAGTATATTCTTAAAAATGGGTATATCATATATCAGGAAACAATGGTCAAGGCACAACTACATTTCTTCCTTCACCATCACCATCAGTTCTTTAAAGTGAAACTGACTGGCTTAGTTTTAATTCTAGTGGATGTGGAACATGCATTCAACTATTTTGCAACCTCTCATTATATTCCAAAAATTGTTAACTTRCTAGAAAATGACATTAAACACAATGATACCAAGAGCTATGATATAAAAATAATGACTTACCTTCACTTGTAGCATGGGTTGAAATTCCCTCACAAGCTTCATTGAAGAGTCATATATGGAATTTCCAATTTTTACTGACTCCAAAAGTGGTACAGGGCGAAAGTCAGTATGATAGAGTTCAGCATTCAACCAGGAAGCCACAAGCTCCARATTAGGAAGAGTAGCACTCATTCCAACAATCTGTACCGCATTAGACAGAGGACTGGCTAAATCTGCCTGGCTGTGAAAAATAAATGAAACTCACATTAAAACACGGTATATTGGGACTGGGGTTGTGGCTCAGAGGTAGAGCACTCGCCGACCATGTGTGAGGCACCAGCTTTGATCCTCAGCACCACATAAAAATAAAATAAAGATATTGTGTCCACCTATGACTAAAAAATAAATATTAGAAAAAAAAACAAAGTATATTAACAAGTAGTGGTGCTAATAATGTTCTTGGGCATGTCCTTTGGCACACACATGCATATAATTTTTTAGGGAACAGGATCTAGGAATAAAATTACTATATCATTGATTACTGGGTCACAGATCTTCAATTTTAAGAGATAATGCCAAACTGTTTTCCAGAGAGTCTGAACCAAAGTAACATCCCACAATATATGTGTATTCTATTGTTCCACAATCTTGTCATTACTTAGTATTATCAATCTTTTTAATGTTAGCCATTCTGGAGAGCAAGTMGTAAACATGAAAAAGTAATTTCTATTTTTCTGATTACTAATGAGACTAGCACCATTTCATGTATACAGGTCATTGGGAAACTCTCTTTCAAATGTCTATTCAAGTTCTTCATTGATATATTAGGTTATTTATGTATTTCTTATTCATTTGTAGAACTTTTAAATTTTCTGGATAGTGACTTTCCTTTTTCATTTATTTTTGCATTTAATTTTATCATTTATTTCCTTTTACTTCTGTGGCATTATTTTATTACTCTTTTTCAAAGTTTCTTGAAATGGATAATTAAATAACATTTCCCGTCTGCCTTCTATAATAAGATAAACATTTCATACTATCAATTTCCCTTTAAAAATAACTTTTGCTGCATTTCACAATTTTGTTGAGATATTTTTCTAGTTCAAAACTATTTTCTAATTTCTATTGTGATTTTTTGACCCAAAATGAGCCTAAAACATATTGCTTAATTTCCAAACATGTAGGCATTTTCAGCTTGTGCTTTGCTTATCCTTATTCCTAACTCCATTCTTCTGTTGTCAGAGAATATATTTTAAGTCATTTCAAACCTTTGAAATATGTTAAGACTTTCTTTATGACCAGCATATGATAAATCTCTTCATAAATGTTTCATGTGGAACTGAAAAGAACATGTACTCTGACATTTTTGCTAATTAYTATACATGTATCCATTAGGTCAAAATTGCTGATTTCATAGTAATATTATCATATCCATAAAGATTTGGGATACAGATGGTTATCTGCTTGTTCTATCACATACTGAGAAAGAAAAATGTGCTTAAATCTCCACAAAATGGAAAAAGCCTATTAAGTGTCCAGCAAGAAATATTGATACAAAATTTCAAAACACAGGGAAAGAAAGGAGCTCCTAAAAACTCCCAGACAGAATTTTAAAAATTTATACAAAGAATGAATGATCAGCATGGCATTGGATTTCTCAATAAAATGGGAAAGTAAAGCCATGACAATTCTGAAGGAAAAACATTCCCAATCTTGATTTTTATGTCTGGACAATCTATGAAAATAACTGCAACACATTTTCAAACACACAAGTTCTCAAACAACCGATAACCATGATAGTGTGTTCACAGAAATAAAGTGGTACTTCCGAGAAGACATCCCCACCAAAGTAAGGAAATAAATGAAGAGAAAGACATGTGATCCAGAAAGGGGGCTCTRCCTGAAGTAAAAAGCAATAGAAATGAGTGATAATGGTGAAGGGAGATCCCAGATGACTGCAGCACAACACAAGTACAGACTAACCACCTTTCAGATTGGAACAACTCAGAAGGCTTTAGGAGAAACATCTTCAAGATGACAACTTTGGTAGAATATCAAATGTGCTGGAATAAAATGGAGATTTACACAATTGAGCAAGAGGCTATGGATATATTAGCAATAAATGCATAAGGAAACCAAGCCATTAAAAAATACATTTGTTAATTTCAGAGAAAAAAAAGGTTTTTTAGAAAAGTAAAAGTAATCACAGTTTATAATAGCTCAGTGGATAATGGCATTCAGACAGTCACATTACTATGACACTGAATAAYGATCTAAGCAAAATTAGAATATAATTATATCTAGAGAGTAGAAACAGGATCAAAGGAGAAAGAGAGACTGTACAGAATGSGGGAGAAGATTGGGTATTGTTGCAYAGAGAATATAAGAGAACCCAATCTTCATGTTCCATAGTAAGAAGTCAATATAAAAGAACTCAAGGAGCAGCATTTAGASATACTAGTGTAAATACAAAAACAAAAACCTAGAAGATTTGAAAGTTGTTGCCACTGAGAAGTAGGAGTTGAAGAACCACTATTTGACAAAATAAGCGTTACCTGCTTAAATTATATGTAAATAAAACTGACAAACAGAAAAACTAGATTTCCAAAACCTATTGCAAAACTATGTACACTGAAATAAAGCAGTGAGCAGTCAAGTCTTAGAATGTTTACAAAGTAATCTAAAATTAATTTATCTAAAGAACTCATTTTAGAACAAAAACTACTGTACAGTTGCTCTAAATAAGGAAAGTACCATCCTCTTTTAGTTTAACGCCTACTTTTGCAAACATTTTTCCAACATTGTTTGAAATCTCAAGAATTCAGTTATTTCAGCTACTCACCTAGATGCTGATTTCTGAGTAATATAGCAAATCTTGGTCAGCAAAAGTTCCAGCAGATATCCTCGGTGAGAGTCTCCCAACATATGTAACTCATCCACAACCACCATTCCTAAAAAGATTTTCCAGATACCAAGTTTTACAAAATCATAATTCCAAGAAGACTTTTAAGAGATTCAACATCTTATACCCTACAGTAAGCATTTACCTTTATTTATTATAAGTGATGCAGATTTCAAACCATAAAACAAAACAAAACAAAAAAAAACACAGATTCCACACAATGGGCAATTCTTTTCCTGGATATATTCTAAAGCTAAAAACCAATGATTAGCTGACTTAGGTCTGTCCAAACCCAAGGAAAACTGCCTCTTGTTACTTCCAAATTGGTAACCTTACAGGAATGATATATCAAAGATTTCTATGTCAGTTATATAGTGTGTCAACTTTTTTTAGGAGGAAACAACCATATTCACATTAGAAAGTTGTGTCAAAAAAAAAAAAAAACTGAATCAGGTCAAAAAGAAACAGATGATTTTAAGGAACTTTTTAAAATATGATAGACTACTGCAAAAGATAAATATGATCATAATGTCCTTCTCCCTACTTAGAGAATTGAACCAATCTATATACTTGAAATAATACTGAAAATTTAGTGTCAACCCATGCCTTCTTTGGTAAACATTTTTGTGACTTCAGTGTTTCACATGCACTGGTATCTCCCACAATGGATCCCACCAAAATCAGGACCATTCAGACAACTTCCTAATGACATGGGATACTCTTTTTCCTTAGCAGTAAGGTTTTCCAAAGTCCTGCTATTTGTTGAATTATTCCAGAATTTATTCATCATCCAAAAATGTTTATTTTACCTAGTATGCCAAGCATTGCACTAGATACATTGGAAATAAYATTTAATAAGATTATTATAATCCTTAAGATATTTGACATCCAGTGGAGTCACAAGTAATAAAACAGTTGATACAAATTGTGACTCTCCTCGGACTATACCCAAAGRACTTAAAAACAGCATACTACAGGCACACAGCCACATCAATGTTTATAGCAGCACAATTCACAATAGCTAAATTGTGGAGCACACCTAGATGCCCTTCAGTGGATGAATAGATTTTTTTTAAAAA